GTAGTACTACGAGTAGTAAACGTAGTACTACGAGTAGTAATCGTAGTTACAATGAAAGAATTAAAAGTAGTATACGAGGAGTATTCAATGAATGAGAGTAGTAATCGTAGTACTACGAGTAGTAATCATAGTACTACGAGTAGTAACGTAGTACTACGAGTAGTAAACGTAGTACTACGAGTAGTAATCGTAGTTACAATGAAAGAATTAAAAGTAGTTACGAGGAGTATTCAATGAATGAATGAGTAGTAATCGTAGTACTACGAGTAGTAATCATAGTACTACGAGTGTAAATGTAGTACTACGAGTGGTAAATGTATACTACGAGTAGTAATCGTAGTACTATGAGTAGTAAACGTAGTACTACGAGTAGTAATCGTAGTTACAATGAAAGAATTAAAAGTAGTATACGAGGAGTATTCAATGAATGAATGAGTAGTAATCGTAGTACTACGAGTAGTAATCATAGTACTAGAGTGGTAATGTAGTACTACGAGTAGTAAACGTAGTACTACGAGTAGTAATCGTAGTTAAAATGAAAGAATTAAAAGTAGTATACGAGGAGTATTCAATGAATGAATGAGTAGTAATCGTAGTACTACGAGTAGTAATCATAGTACTACGAGTAGTAAACGTAGTACTACGAGTGTAAACGTAGTACTACGAGTAGTAATCGTAGTACAATGAAAGAAGTAAAAGTAGTATACGAGGAGTATTCAATGAATGAATGAGTAGTAATCGTAGTACTACGAGTAGTAATCATAGTAGTACTACGAGTGGTAAATGTAGTACTACGAGTAGTAACGTAGTACTACGAGTAGTAATCGTAGTACTACGAGTAGTAAACGTAGTACTACGAGTAGTATCGTAGTTACAATGAAAGAATTAAAAGTAGTATACGAGGAGTATTCAATGAATGAATGAGTAGTAATCGTAGTACTACGAGTAGTAAACGTAGTACTACGAGTAGTAATCGTAGTTACATTGAAAGAATTAAAAGTAGCATACGTTCCAGCAATTTGCCTTAAGGCACGATGCCATGCGCTTCACTAGTTTAATTTTGAATTGATATGTTAAACTATAAAAATCGTTTCAAGCTACTAGAATTTAAAAAAATAAACCAACCGAGAAAATTATTGATGATACAATGCACATCGCTATATAAAAATAAATAAATCTGAATAGTATGGTATCATCATGGTATCATAGAATTAACAAAACACTTTTATTTATGAATCCACTTAAAGATAATAAATACGACGAATTACTAAATCAATCAATGATCATAGTGAACCATGTTTTTATATTATCTGACAAAAATAAATAAATAGAAGTTATATTTATCTAATTTTTCTAATGCATATAAAACACACAATCAGTGATTGTTAAAATTATTTTAGAATACGAAGAAGTATATCATGCAATAAATAAAGAAATAAATTAGATAAAGTAGTAAGATAACTTACTTAGATTCTGATGGCTATTTAATTGTAAAACAAACATTAATAAGATAAAAGTTTTTCATACAGACTTTTATCCAGAAAGACTAACAATAAGTTATTATAGAAAAAAATTATAAGTCTTCCACACGTTTCGAGTCCCAGTTCATTCAGTGCATAAAACTACAAAATCTAAAATTTGTAATCAAAGCATTAAGATCAAAATAAATATAATTGTTTTAAGAATTATTGCTCATCCTAAAATAA